GAGAGAGAGAGAGAGAGAGAGAGAGAGAGAGAGAGAGAGAGAGAGAGAGAGAGAGAGAGAGAGAGAGAGCACTAATTCTCTGTATTTACTCTCTCTTCCTTTGTCTACAGTCTTTTGCCCACTAACGTCTTCTCTGTATTTGCTCTATATCTTTATGTATTTGGGAGAGACCATACGGCTCTCTCTAACTGAACTCGCTTCAGAAGTTAAAATGTGCGTGGGAGGTATACTCTCTCCCAAAGGATGCCTTCCCTGCGCTCCTTCCTTGGTGGGGTTTATCTGTCGAACGCATTTATCTGTCGAACGCTTCCTGACTGTATAGCTAGCATACATACAAAACGAAATGACTGCGGGCCGCTCCGCTGCAATCGCAAAATGTGTAAAAGTTGAGAATTCATCTTCCTCTATAATTGGCCGGATACACCGGCCATGGTTTTTGTCTTTTTCAACTTTGGTGAGTGCCCTGGCGAGGCCCTTTCTTGTTGTGTGTCCAACAAGAGGGGGACCTTATTTTTCATCCTTGTTAGCAAGGAGCTCAAACTGAATACTGGCCTGGATGTGTCATTTAGCTCTCACAGCCGAGTGCACAGCTTCTGCAGAACGGTGTGTCATTTAGCGAACAGACCTTCCTCTCTTGCAGGACAGGGGTCTCTGGTCCCTTCGAAGGGACCCCAGAAGTCCCAGCGATCATCTTCATCGTCATCTCCTCAGTTGGGCATCACCCAGCATCAGGGGTATATATTGCCACTACGGCTGAGAAGGTAATTGCAGCAGGAATCGTTTCAAGAAGTCGCATCATGAAGGAATAGCCTCCTAAACGAGCCCCCCGCCCGCCCAGATCACCGGGTCAAACTACTGAGTCTTGATCTGAGCTATTACAGCAAGCTATATGACCGCCACACTATCTACCAACTGTGCCAAGAGACGCTACGCTTGCTTCCACGAGTCCACGGTGTCTGGGTTCTCTCTGCTTCTCTCCCTTCGTCTCTCTCGACCTGGTGTTACACCCTGCCCCATTCTGTTAAACTTTTTTTCTTTTTTCTTTTTTTTCCAAGAATAGAAAAAGAAATCTGTCTTTGAATTTTCGTCCGTTCTTCCCTCGTTGTCTTTTTTTCTTGGGGTAGGGCTGTAGTGGGTCGCATTGCCTCATGGCTGCTCCAGATTGAAGGAGGTTGCACGTTTTTTTTTTTTTTTTTTTTTTTTTTTTTGAAAAGTTGCAGCTTGTATTACAGAAATAACCACATGAAGGAGGTTGCACGGTTTTCATGTGATGATGAGAACGAGTTAGGTGGTTTGTAATCCCGTCGAATGATCGGCAAATGTAGGGGGTTGCTCTCCCTTGTGAATGTGCTCCCTTTTCTTCATTCCTCGCTCGCCCCCCCCCTCCGTTCCCAATGTGCACTTCAACCCCCCTCAAGATTGATTGAAAAAAAAGATTGATTAATTTTGCTGTAAGGATACGAGAAAGCTTTGGGCCCTGAGAGTATTTCGCGTGGTTATGGTGTATTCAGTTCAAACTTTGAGAGGGAAGGTTGCAAGCAAACAGTGCCAGTCGTTGGTTGATATGAATGAGCAGAGTTTCTCATAAAAAAAAAACAAAAAAAAACAGTGCCAGTCGTTGGTTGATATGCCAGAGAGGTTTGGATCTTCTAAGAAAGTGTGCACTGCTCGACGGGATTACCAACCACCTAACTCGTTCTCATCATCGGACGAATGATGCATTCAAAATGCTGCATTCGTCCGAATGCACCTGGTCAAGAAAGCGTCCAATGCATGTAGAGTGATGTGTAGTGGAGCGATGCCCTTTCTTGTCGATTCCGGGTGTGAGAAACTTTCTGATCATACTCTTACGAAGCGGCCATCGTGTTAAAAATAAATAAAAATAAATAGAAAATGTAAAAAAAAAAATTAATAATAATAATAAATAATAATAATAATAATAATAAAATAATAATAAAATATAATAAATAATAATCATAATAATAAGAAGAATAAGAATAAGAATAAGAATAAGAATAAGAATAATAAAAGAGACCATCCTGGCAGATAGACACAAACGGTGTTGAGGTCTCACAACTCATCCAACCAACGACCCAGGGGCGAGGTCCCATTAGCAGTCGGATAGGAGTGTGGCCGATCCAGTGTGACACTGAGTGGCAGCGGCCCGACAGGTTCATTACGAATTTCTGGGCTGAGAAAACAGGAGAAACGCAAAAAAAAAAAAAAGAAACAGAGACCTCCCACCGAAAATCACGGCAGAGTGCTTCCCAGCCATCAGATCACAAATGATCTGATGGTGGTGGTTGCATAAGCAGTGAACAAAGTAACCGCCACATTTGCTGGAATAAACTTGACTTCTGTCCGCACTGATCCTGACACCCTCCATATACTCCGTGATTGAAGGAGCGCTCCACCCAATGAGATAATTGCGCAACAGCAAGTAAAATACTGAAAATCTTCTATCCAGTGGGCTAAGGCCGATCCCACCCTCCTTTGGGGTTGGCCTTACCCCCAACCGATAGAAAAGATTCTGGCGGGAAGCTTTCTTTGCACGGGCATGGCCAGTGTTAAGGAGATGGCCAGTGTTAAGGAGAGGAGGAGGGGAACGAAGATCTCCTAATTTTTTCGGGTAATACAGGTAAAACACTGACCGTGGGATCACGACTACTGCACGGCAGGATTGGGGTCACTCAACTGCCCCACAAACTCGTTTCTATCCTATCCCGCTGCTAGTGGGACCTCGCCCCAGGGCACAAGTTAATAATAATAATAATAATAATAATAATAATAATAATAATAATAAATAAAAATAAAAAATATAATAATAAAAATAATAATAATAATAACAATAACAATAATAATAATAATAATAATAATAATAATAATAATAATAATAATAACTAGGCTACCAGCCGGGCCGCCGGGGTCCCGGGTGGCCAGCCCGTGCAAGGATCAGGTAAGGTCCCAGCAAAAAAAAA